ATCCATTATTAAAATAATATTTCATTTGATTCTGATGATTCCTTCATGGTGTTGCATTTTCTACAAACAGCAGTTTAATAACATTTTGATGGTGACTTGGGAATTTGTCGTAATAGCGGCCTATTACCTCAATTGTCATAATTTGTAACACCTAATTTGTAGCAACAGCGGACCTCTCGCGATATACCGTTACATCGAGCTTTTGCTGTATTTTATTTCATTTTTATGTAAACTACTGTAAATAGCAGCTGCAATTTCGTACACCGATATTTCTTCACATATTTTACCATACTTTGCTTATAAGCATCTGTCCATTTGTGTTTTAGTCCTCAAAAGTAGTTGCTTCAACCCTTTAATTTTATGACATCTCGTAGACTTTTATTACTGAAGTAAATCTTTTCCTATTTATATGGTGTTTATAGTAAAATACCATGAACTTTTTTCAATTTTTACCCCTTGTCGCGATCTAAAAGAAAAAAATAAAGAACAACAGTAAGTAGTTTAAATTTAGCTAATTGCTGTCTTTGAAAACTACACTCATATTTATGAAGATTGCAGCTCCATGAAGAAATTGTGAAAATTTAATCAAACTAACAGAAAATGTAAAGTGAGGTAAGACATAGAAATGATTTGAATTAAAAATCGGTTGAAGGGTGTTTATTGGTACCACAATCAATAATATGTAAAATAAATTTCAATAATTTCTGACAATTCCTTCATAGTGTTGCAAGTTTCACAAATAGCAGTGCAAATTACCTGAGTGGGTTTCACTTTTAAGACTTGTAGGAGGTTTACTTTGGTCATCGCTGGTATTTGATGGGACAAATATCTTTCTGTAATGTAAAGAAAAAAAACGAAGAAAAAAAATTATCTAAAATATAGCCAAGAAGACATCGAGGGTAAATTAAAATTATTGTTGAATTGACCATTTACTCCTCAATATAAAAATTAGATGATTCATTAATCTGATATTAAAATGAGCAAATAGTTCTCTGTAATAAAAAAACCAAGAAAAATGACAACAAACTATAAACAATAGTCAAGAAGATATCAAGAGTAAATTAAAATTACTGTTTAACTGGCCATTTACTCCTCAATATTACTTTCAATACTTCAAGTAGGCATACTCTTAAAATTAGCCTTTACTCCTGCATCCTCAAGTCAGCTACATACCTCCTTTGACCTCTCCATCACGACATCCCGCTTAGTGTCAGCTTTTTGTATATATTCTTCGTATGTATTCTTTTTTTTTTATTCGAACTTTGTTACATTTTATCGTCATTAACTCTGTATATAACCAGCTTTGTAAATATTTTCAACCTTTTCGACTTTCGCTCTAATTGTTACTACTTCCTTATCGCCGACTTTTAATATGTTTATAGCTCGTTGATTGTCTACTTTTATGTACTCGGATTTTTACTCATTAACTCTTTCATTATCTCATTATTACCCTTAGTTCTATAGATGCTCATACCTACGACTAAAGTGGTGTGGTCAATTGACCTCTACCATCATACTTGTGCAGGCTCCTCTTTCCCTTCTTTTTTTCCCCTCTAAATTTCATTTCAACTAAGCATTTCTAATTTCGCCAATCACCCATCGTCTCCTATTTCCTGCGAATCGGTTTATTGCCGCCTTCGGCTGCAGATACCCAGATCACGCAATCTTCGTGTATAGTGAAAGCATGTGGACAGCTGATCTGACAGTGTTAAAACAAACATCAAAACACATTCATGATGGGTGAAATATGGGGCACTTCGCAGCTCATCTGCCCATTTCCAGAGGACTACTATAATGAAAGGAAGAAGATAGATGGGATAAAAGCCGTAAACGGTCCCATCCATTCAGATAAATTTCGAGTGAGGTGATTTCAAAGAGGCCTCTCTAACTGAGAGTTGAAACTCGCCAAACAGTGTGCAACGCGTGGAGGTAGCAGCTTCGAATCCCACTGTCAGCCTGGGTGTATCGTCGTAATGTCCTTCTACTTGAAAAAAGCTTAAAAGCCTTAATTGAGAACACAAACCTTCAAATGTAAGTTATATTAATGAATCAAACCATGATTTCGAAAGTATTAGTTCTAAAACTAGAAAAAGTTATTAACTTTCTATTCTCAATTTGGTCTATCCGAATTTTGCCTGATTAAAAAAAAACTTCAATCATGATGAAAGTTTTAAGCATGATCTTTCAAACTGTGCCAACAGTTTTGACATGTAAAACCTTTTAAAACTTATGCTAATAAAAAAAGCAACGAGTTAATAAAGAAGTTTTATCATATTTACTCCTGTTTTTGGATTCATTTCCTGCTCATAAAGGTTAAATTTTATCCTTTTAAGGTATTAAGGAACCTTCTAAGCAGAAGAAAAATAATACTTCTGAAATCCTAGAGTGGTCTTAACTTCTTAATTTATTAATTAGAATTTAATCATTGATATAGGTTCTAAATTAAAAAAACATGATTTGCTTGTTGCTTAAAATTTTCTTCAAAAAATAATTTATAAAAATAAGAGAAAAAGGAAAGTGTGCGTTGTGTACGCATGAAATTAAAAATAATTTTATACCCTTCAATGATGAAACCAGATCCTTCGTTATTATTCAATTCAAACCTTATGCTATCCATAGCTTCGTGAGCCACAGGATTTTGAGTGCTGTAAATTGTGTTTGCTTTCTGATCCGGCTTTCCTCGCAATATATACAAGTTATCTGAAACACAAATTTGACAATAATAGCGAAATGCAATTAAAAAGTAATAATTAAATATTAAAAAATATTTAAATACCACTTTTTTTCAAAAAGACTAAAGAGAAGAGAATCCTTTTATTTTTATCAAACCAAAAGTGAGACCAGACCAGCGCTCGTCCCTTTCGAAAACTTGAGTAGGTAGCAATTAATTGTATAAATGATGTGACTTAAGTTTTTCGTTCTATGTGTACGAAATTATGTTTATTTTCTCCATTTCAATCATTTTGAATACAGTACAAGGTATTAATTTAATGCGAACTCCAATTCCTAACCACATTTTTAGCAAAGGTACTTTCCACATCAACAGCATGTTGCGTTTACGCAACGTCAGCGAGAAATGAATAAATGTAATTCAAGAAGATGCTTTCACGATTTGGATTTTCTTCAAGGTCTGTAATATTCTAATTCATTTCTGTAATATTATGTGTTTCCTTCATTTAAGTTGAACTGACCAGCGTCCTCAAAAAACTAAAAAAACTGGCAGCAAAATTTCTAAAAAAATATTCTAAAACTCACCTCTTTCCCTTTCCAATTAATAAAAAAAAAAGTATTTTTCTCAGAATATTAAACTGGAAAGGTAAAGCAGCAAGTTTTCAAATATCCATATCGAAATTTGACTAAAAATTCTTTAGTTTTTTGAGGACGCTGGCCATCTTGATTTAAGTAGATCTTAACCCAAAGCTGTTTCGTCGTAATCTTCTGAAGTCACCTTTATTGAACAAATATAAATATTAAAAACATGGAATTTGCTATCACTGGAAAATAAAACCTTGATTAAGCGCGAAGCTGGCAACTATTCATAGGGAATTTTTCCTCCTCAAAAGGAAAATTATCAACATTTAAAATCACATTTTATGATTACTGCTTCAGTTATATCGGTTAAAGAAAATCGTAATAACAATTGTTCCTGTAGAACCTAATAGACAATACTGTAGGGTTTTTTTTTATAAAAAAAATTCTTTCATCGCTTCTTGTGTTTTACATCACGTGACTTTAACGTATCTGACATTGAAACCACAGATGGTTAGAAACTAATAATGGCTCCTACTGAATTGCCTACTGTATGGATCTGTCAACGGGAACAGGTAATCAGGAAAAGACATCCTTAATCAATGGAGTTCGAAGTAGATCCTTATAATTTGAAAATGCAAGAAAAATGCATCTAGGCCTTTCCCAGAGGCATTCACCATGAAATTTCAATGTTTATGTCACGTTTTCTGTTTTACTGAAGTTAAGAGTGGAAAAAAAACTGATTTGGACATCATAAAATACTCCATAAAGCGATGCCAATTAGAGAAATGAACGATTAAGCAGATAACAGTTGAAAAAGATAATTAATCGTAACATCGAAATTATGTACGTTACAAAGTGAAACCAAATAGAAAAATCAATGTTTATGTATGTTATCTCTCTTACAACAGTTAAGAAAATAACTGTGTTCGTGATGTCACCATAAAAAACTCTCTCAAGTGAGACTAAGTAGAAAAATTAACATTTAAGCAGTTAACAGTTGAAAAAGGCAACTAATCATAACATCACCATGAATTACGCTATAAAGTAAGATCAAACAGAAAAATCAACGTTTATGTTATCTCTTCTGCAACAGTTATGAAAATAACTGTGGTCGTGATGTCACCGTAAAACTCTCAAGTGAGACCAAATAGAGAAATGAACATTTAGGCAGTTAACAGTTGAAAAAGGCAACTAATTATAACATCGCCATGAATTACGCTATAAAGTAAAATCAAATAGAAAAATCAACGTTTATGTTATCTCCTCTGCAACAGTTATGAAAGTAACTGTGGTCGTAATGTTACCATGAAATACTTTATGGAATAAGACCAAAACGAAAAATCCAAGTTAATGTCAGGTTATTTATACCACAGCAGACAAAAGTTCTGATAGTGACGTCACCACTCTATACAGTGTACTCACTTTTGCCATGAAATTTTATTATTTCATCATATCCACTTCTCTCTTCTTTTATATTTCTCAAGTCGAACGTTGCGTCAGTCACTACATCTATGACACCAGTAGGAGTGACAACAAACCCATGAGTCAAACTGAAAAATATATAAAAAGAAATATTTATATATTAATAGATACTAAAACAAATGAGCTTGGATATGTTATTAAAAACTAAAATCTTATAAGCATTTTTCAAAGTTAAATATTTTAATTTTAAGCACCAATTTGGAACAAGAGACAATCAGTTCGATCATGCTTTCAACCAAAAATGGATAATGCATAGTAAGTCCTTAGATGCCAACTTTCGATTTTCGATCAAAAGAACATTTCTATAGGTTGATGTTTTATTAACTGATTATTGATTTAATAAATGTGAATTAATCTTAATTTAACGGTCACAACTGATAAATAGTTCAAATACGATGAGTGTTATTTTAAGTAAGGACCGCTTTGCTGTGTACACTAGATGACGCTAACGTCGCAATGAGTACTTTCGTCTTGTCCCGGTATTCCTTGGGAAGAAATGTGCACAGTTGAAGCTGTTTAGGTAACCTGTACGGTCAGTTATGTGTCTTTAAAATGTTTAAGATTATTCAGTCGTCAGCCCCATACGAGGTACGGTTAGTGATGCGTTTTTTTTATCGGCAAAAACCTGTGTGCTGCAAACATCGGCAGACATATGAAGTTTACGGTGCTACTGACGAAAAGAACAAGGAATTTTGTTATTCTACGACAATGACTCTCCATCAGCAGCTGCAGCTTTATTGGACTCTTTGGGCTAGGAAGTTTTGGACCCTCCCCCTGTATTCCTGACCTTGAGCCGATCGATTTAAATATTTTCCGATGCTTCAAAGATCATTCCGGCGGCAAACACTACAACGAAGAAGAAGACGTGAAAGCCACCGTGACCTCTTGGTTATCGGATCAGATGTCAAGTTGCTATGAAGAGGGTATTCTAAATCGAGTTGTAAGGCATTATAAGTGTTTAAAAAAACTGGCAATTATGTTGACACAAAGAAAAACGTATGTACAGTCTGAAAATAAATTAATTTCCTGAAAATTTTCTTTCGTTTGATTTTTGTTTTCGAACATCCCTAACTTTAGAAAAACGCCTCGTATATGGGTGATTCTCACGAAATATGACAATTCACTGTCCCTTGCTCCAAGATCTAATACTATAATACTAAAAGAACTTTTTTTTTAAAAAAAATTTATAAATAGCATTGCTGTAAGCATTTTAAAATGACTTTGCACTAGAATTGACTGTTTTGTGTACTTAAAAAATTTAATTGAATATCAAAATGTCATTTTCCTGGCCTGTCATAAACAATATTTCCTGTAATAACTACCTTCAAAACTTCCCATACATTTTTCAAAATTCAATTTTTTTTTATCTTATCCTATGTAAGCATTTCTAGAATATACGCAGAGGGTATTGTTTACTAAAACTTCGTTTAAAATAATTTCTTCTGACAATAATTTGTTTGTCCCATGAAAATCTGTCATTTTCCTGGCTACTTTTATTTAGTGATTTATAACCAAAATAGATAGCGCCAGGAATCANGTTGCATCCCGCAAATAGATTTACTTCTGACAATGAAAAAGAAAATAGTAGTAAAATTAACTTATTCTTTGCTTTTATTCAAGAAACGTAAATTTCCGATACTTACTTGATTCATTATAACATGAATAAATTATAATGCTATATCATATTATATGTTTTATCATTATTCATGAATTATAACATATACTGTATTTTATAAGCATCGTTGAAAAGCCGGCCTGTTTTTGGGTTTAAATCTATTAATGTATAAATCCGTAGTCTTGTAATTTTTAATCCAACCTAGAAGACAAGGGGACGCATGGATCAAGCATTAGGATTAGCTAGCCATCGTGGAGAACTTTCTGATAGAATTTAGACTACTGGAGAGGAGAATCGCGAAGTTTTCCCTGTATAATTAACCCTACGGTAAAAGGATTCTGATCCATGATCTGTCCACCCCTAACAATACTTTTATCAATCCTCTCAATTATAACAAATACTAGGTATTCCAAAATTAATTTGTACCACTGTGGACTGATCGTAAAGACACGCATTCTAGTAAAAATATTGCAATCCTATAGAATAACTTCAAAATTGCTGGTGTTAAAACTAAATGAATATCTTCTCCTCATTTTGGATTTGCATGGTTAAAAAGGACACCTTTTCTAAAAAACTTCAAGCATGATCTTTCAAACTGTGCCAACAGTTTTGACATGTAAAACCTTTTAAAACTTATGCTAATAAAAAAAGCAACGAGTTAATAAAGAAGTTTTATCATATTTACTCCTGTTTTTGGATTCATTTCCTGCTCATAAAGGTTAAATTTTATCCTTTTAAGGTATTAAGGAACCTTCTAAGCAGAAGAAAAATAATACTTCTGAAATCCTAGAGTGGCCTTAACTTCTTAATTTATTAATTAGAATTTAATCATTGATATAGGTTCTAAATTAAAAAAACATGATTTGCTTGTTGCTTAAAATTTTCTTCAAAAAATAATTTATAAAAATAAGAGAAAAAGGAAAGTGTGCGTTGTGTACGCATGAAATTAAAAATAATTTTATACCCTTCAATGATGAAACCAGATCCTTCGTTATTATTCAATTCAAACCGTATGTTATCCATAGCTTCGTGAGCCACAGGATTTTGAGTGCTGTAAATTGTGTTTGCTTTCTGATCCGGCTTTCCTCGCAATATATACAAGTTATCTGAAACACAAATTTGACAATAATAGCGAAATGCAATTAAAAAGTAATAGTTAAATATTAAAAAATATTTAAAAACCACGTTTTTCAAAAGGACTAAAGAAAAGAGAATCCTTTTATTGTTATCAAACCAAAAGTGAGACCAGACCAGCGCTCGTCACTTTCGAAAACTTGAGTAGGTGGCAATTAATTGTATAAATGATGTGACTTAAGTTTTTCGTTCGATGTGTACGAAAATATGTTTATTTTCTCCATTTCAATCATTTTGAATACAGTACAAGGTATTAGTTTAATACGAACGGCAATTCCTTGCCACATTTTTAGCAAAGGTGCTTTCTACATCACAACACCATGTTGTGTTTACGCAACATCAGCGAGAAATGAATAAATGTAATTCAAGAAGATGCTTTCGCGATTTGGATTTTCTTCAAGGTCTGTAATATTCTATTTCATTTCTGAAATATTATATGTTCCTTTCATTTAAGTTAAAAAACTAAAAAAAACTGACAGCCTAATTTCAAAAAAAAATATTCTAAAACTCACCTCTTTGCCTTTCTAATTAATAAAAAAAATTATTTCTTTTCTCAGAATATTAAATTGGAAAGGTAAAGCAGCAAGTTTTCAAATATCCATATCGAAATTTTACTACCGATTCTTTAGTTTTTTGAGGACGCTGGTCATCTTGATTTAAATAAAACTTAACCCAAAACTATCTATTTCGTGGTAATATTGTTGTTTAATAAAAGTCACTTTGATTAAACAAAAATAAATATTAAAAAATAGAATTTGCTATCACTAGAAAATAAAACCTGGATTAAGCGCAAAACTGGCAACTATGCATAGGGATTTTTTCCTCCTCAAAAGGAAAATTATCAACATTTAAAATCATGTTTTGTGATTACTGTTTCAGTTATATCGGGCAAAAACCGAATATTTTAAGTCGCAGAAAAAAAAAATTCTGTAGAACATAATAGAAAATACAGTCGGATTTTTTTTAAAAACGAAAAAAAAAATTACTTCATCGCTTATGTCTTACATCACGTGACTTTGGCGTAGCAAAGACCTAACATGGTCACTACAGCTGGTTAATAACTTATAATGGCTTCGATTGAATTGTCTACTGTATGGATCATTCAACAGAAAAACGTTATCAGGAAAAGACATCCATAATCAATAGAGTTCGAAGTAGATCCTTATAATTTCGGTAAGAAAAATGCATCTCTTGGACTTTCCCGGATGCATTCACCGTGAAATTTCAATGTTTATGTCATGTTTTCTGTTCTACAGGGGTTAAGAGTGGCAAAAAACTGATCGGGACGTCATAAAATACTCTATAAAGCGACACCAAATAGAGAAATGAAAGTTTAAGCAAGCAACAGTTGCAAAAGATAATTAATCGTTACATCGAAATTATGTACGTTACAAAATGAAACCAAATAGAAAAATCAATGTTCATGTATGTTATCTTATAACAGTTAAGACAATAACTGCGTTCGTGATGTCACCGTAAACCTCTCAAGTGAGACCAAATAGAGAAATGAACATTTAAACAGTTAACAGTTGAAAAAGATTACTAATCATAACACCGCCATGAATTACGCTATAAAGTAATAGGGCATTGGGCCCAGGTTCAAGAGATCGTGGGTTCGATCCCTGCCGGCCGAAGACTCTCCGTGTAGTAAATGGTGACTGATGCACGTTAAATCAGTCGAGTCTCAAAGTCCTCCATGTTCCCATAACAAATCAAGACCTCTAGGGGTACTGAATTGGAGATTGATAGTTCTTTGATTCAGGTCAAAATTACGATCTGTGGATGAATGAATGGACGTATGAATGGTTTCGCCCTATAAACGAGCGTGACGTAATGGGAGTGGCAGAAGTCGAATTCTTGGCCATAGATGGCGCCACTGGAAAACAAGAACAATCGCACCCCCTCTACATTAATGGCATAGGTCAACAACAACAACGTTAATTATCTCTTCTGCAACAGTTATGAAAATAACTGTGGTCGTAATGTTACCATGAAATACTTTATAAAATAAGACCAAAAGGAAAATTCCAAGTTAATGTCAGGTTATTTATACCACAGCAGACAATAGTTCTGATAGTAACGTCACCACGCTCTACTGTGTACTCACTTTTGCCATGAAATTTTATTATTTCATCATATCCGCTTCTCTCTTCTTTTATATTTCTCAAGTCAAACGTTGCGTCAGTCACTATATCTATGACACCAGTAGGAGTGACAACAAACCCATGAGTCAAACTGAAAAATAAATAAATAGAAATATTTATAAATTAATGGATACTAAAACAAATGAGCTTGGAGATGTTATTAAAAACTAAAATCGTATAAGCATTTTTCAAAATTAAATATTTAAATTTTAAGCACCGATTTGGAACGGTGGTGCCAGAGACAATCGATTCCATCATGTTTTCAACCAAAAATGGATAATGTATAGTAAGTTCATAGATGGCAACTTTCGTTTTTCGATCAAAAGAACATTTCTAAAGGTAGCTAAATTGATGTTTTATTAATTGATTGTTGATTTAATAAATGTGAATTAATCTTAATTTAACGGTCACAACTGATAAATAGTTGAAAATATGAGGCGTGTTTTTTAAGTAAGGACCGTTTTGCTGCGTACACTTGATGACGCGAGCGTCGCAACGAGTGCTTGCTTCGTGTCCCGGTATTCCTTGGGAACAACTGTGCACAGTTGCACCTGTGTGCTGCAAACATCGGCAGATTTGTGAAGTTTACGGAACTACTGCCATGCTGACTGGAAATTTTGCTATTCTATGACAATAACTCTTCAGCAGCAGCTAGAGCTTTATTTGACTCTTTTGGCTGGGAAGTTTTGGACCCTTCCCCCTATGTACCTGACCTTTCGCCGATCTATTTAAATATTTTCGGATGCTTTAAAGATCATTTCGGCGGCAACCAGTACAACGAAGGAGACGTGAAAGCGGCCGTGACCTCTTGGCTATCGGAGCAGATGGCAAGTTGCTATGAAGAGGGTATTCTAAATCTAGTTGTAAGGCATTATAAGTGTTTCAAAAAAAATCTGGCAATTATGTTGACACATAGAAAAACGTATGTAGAATCTGAACACAAATTTATTTCCTGAAAATTTTCTTTCGTTTGGTTTTTGTTTTCGAACATCTCTAACTTAAGAAAAACGTCTCGTATATATCAGATCCGATGATCATAAGATTGGCGAAAAGTTTCTGTGACATAAAGCAACTTTAATTATTATTTTTCTATCTCCAGAAAAAGTTGGTAGCTATGTAATAAGTAGCGATCGTGTCCGAAAAGAATCCTCAATCATAGATCGTCATAGATTCTTCTACATCATCTTCATCTCCCGTGTCGCACAAAAATCATCCTTATCCTTATCCAAAGAATTCGAAATTGTACACTTTTTAAAATACTTTAAAATAACATTTGAATCCACATTTTGCTATCAGTCTAGTATCATTGGACAGAGCTATAGTGGCTCAGGTGATAGAGCGCTCGTCTACCAATGAGGTGACCCGGGTTCGATCCCAGGCATGGCTGGTCGATATGAATTCCGCACCCAACTCGCTCCTACCACAATGCTGACGCAAAATACCCTAAGTGTTAGATGAATCATGGGTAAGCGTCTCCTTGTCGTCGGGCTAACTGTGGGATATTTTCGTTGCTTTCCTCTCCATGTAACAGAAATGCGGGTTAGTTCCATCAAAAAGTATTCCACAAAGGCGAATTTTCCCTAATATTTGATCAAGGAGTTCCCTTGTCTTCTTGAGTTCAAAATTGCAAAGCTACGGAGTTGAACATTGGTAGTGGTGAAGTCAAGATTGGGTCGGCTGTTCAGAGACGGTGATAAAATAAGAGTATCATCGAACACGTGATGTTTATAAGAGCAGTGGGGAAATTTTTGATGTGAAATATTTTTGTTTTAAAAAATTTTGTAGATTGTTTAATTTTAGAAATTTCATATGGCTCGTTCTAGAGGTCGATTTATAAATCCGATCTACCTTTGCTATCTCATAATCAAAAATAATGGGTCGACTTATACAACGAGTCGACTTATACACCGGGATATACGGTACTTATAATTTTGCAACCACTCTGGACAGTGTGGAGAAAATTTAACCCTTTTGTTTGATCGGTCTAAAATTATGTTTAAAAACATATAGAAACACGGTGTAAAAAATACTTACTCTTTTACTATATTAGGCATTGATATGCGAAACAAATGAACAACGCTCCCATTCTAAAATTTAAAAAAAAAAGATTAAATAATTTAAATCCTCCTTGACTCTCAAAATTTTTATTTTGCTAAGCCTTTAAAAAATTAATACCATACTCGATATACTTGTCCAAACAAATGATAAAACTCTATTTCATTCAAGATTGAAAAATCACCTAAAATAATGCAAAAAAACCATAATATTGCAACAAATATTGCAATTTTTTTGCAAAAATAATAAAATAAATAAATAGTTAACATAAAATTGAAATTGAATTTTTCTTCTGAATTTGTTAAGTAGAAACTTATTATTTTTCTTAAACTTTATTGTACACAAATGTTTTCGGAGACGACAAATAATCATATTTAAACTGCATTTTTTCTTATAATAGCTAATATTTTCGGTAAAAGGTATTTTGCATTTGTTTAGGAATTGTATCTGTTTTGATTTTAACACGTTACAATAAAAATCCTATTACAAAATACAAGGTGAAAATCACCAGGAGCTAATTTTCTCCACATTCTATTTTGTTCAAACTGTCTTTAAATAATATTGTTAAATTATTTATGTTTAAAACGATCTTCACCTAGTTGGTGCACGTTTTAAAGATTTGATCCACTATTTGAATTTAAAAAAAGCCCACCCACCAACCTTTAATAAAGAGTGCTGACAAACGAAATAAAATAAAAAGCTTAACGCATTTTGTCAATTATGGTACTATTAAAGCATGTATTTTTCAGCTTCTGTTTTTACCGGAGATTGCGTGGTAAGGTAAACATCCATTTTGAAAAAGGAAACATACCAGTCGATTAGTTGTCTGGGTGTCAGCCAGAAGACACACGCTATTCATTTTGTCCCTATTCATTTTGTCCCTATTCATTTTTGTCGGTATTCATTTTTGACACTCTCTATTCAATGTTGCCTAGAATAGCCCATCTCTGAATTACATAATTTTTTTTAAAGTGTTTAGCGAAATTAGAATTTTAAAAAAAATTGTATGAACAAAAACTTTTAATACTGTACTTTAAACTTTGTCTATTTTCTAAATAGCTTTTTACTTTTTGACACTTTATACTGAACATTAAGGAATATTTCTAGCCAAAAGTAAACATCATGTTTAAAAATTATAAGTAGTAGTAAATGTTTGCAACAAATGTATATTTCTGTTTAATTATGAAACTAGTTAAATCATAATCATTTCAAATCCATTTTTATTTTAATTATTAATGAATGTAACTATTAATGAATGTAACTATTGATGACCAATTTAAAGTACTAATGAATGCATCTTAGTATGCACGATCGCTTTTCAAACTCCAGATAAATGCTGGGAAAAATAATAAATTTTCTACCAACTATTGCCTATTAACCACATTCAGAGCAATGCTTAATACATATCATAAAAAGTCTAAAACGTTTAAAGAAGTACAAACAAGTCTTACCTATATATCTAATTCTTTCACCGAACAAATACATTGATAATTCATCAGTTCCATCAACACTTAGAGTACCTGATATGGTTCCAGACTGAGAATATAGATTCAGAACCTTAGAAAACCTATTAAAAAAAGTAATGATAATAATATCTGTGAACAATATTAAAAAAGCACAATAAATATTTTTAAAAATTGAAAGGAAAAAGCTATATTGTCCAAATAGTCACATAACTCGGTAAACAACATAGAATTAGAATCATAGCATGCTAATATCATGTATCAAATATCATCATAAAATTCTATCGCAACTTATTGGCAACATACAGAGGTTGAATAAAAATACGGAGACACTTCAATACTAACTCTATATAAACAATCTTTTGCAATTGTTTTGATCTCTATATAAACAATCGCAGCAATTGTTTTGGAACGTTTTACATGGCAAAACTGTTGGTACAACTTTAAAAAAAAATACTTAAAGTATTAGCAATAGTGTCCTTTTTGCCCATGCAAAATTCGCACAGATCAAATTGAGCGTTGGAAGTTAAAAGCTTTTTTTTTATATACCAGAATGATTTTCAAAAAATTCTTATAGAATTATCACAATCCTAAAAACATAAATTCAAAATTGCTGCTAATAAAGCTAGAAATAAGTTATTAACTTTCTCGTCTCCTTTTGGACGATCTGAATTATACATAGGCACGAATGGCACGATTCTAAAAGATTCCTGCATGATTTTTCGAATTGTGTCAATAGTTTTGAATCGAAAAATATCCCAAAACATTTGCTGCTAGAAGAAAGATTGTTTCCATAGCGATAGTATCGAAGTTTTTCCATATTTTTGTCCAACCCCTGTACAATCAGAACATAGAAACAACATAAATTACAGTCATGGCTTGTTAACAACACAGTACAATTTAATAATTTAGATACGTTCAAACAATTACTCTTCTATAGGTGGCCTAAAGTTCAACCATTTCGTTTCAGACATCCCCTTAGCTAAAGCAGATGCGCTGATGTCTGAAGTAAAATCGAAAACATCCGACGAAGCTCGCCAACTAGAAAAGAAAGAAATATATTTTATTCTATTAACCTTTAGCGATGGAAACATTTCGAACAAATACTGAAACAATAAAATTTCAAAGACAGAAAATACAAATTGTTATTGATTTTATAAGAAGGTTACATTTTGAAATAATAAAAACTTACAAAATAAGAGAGAAAAAACTACATTATATATACATATATATACGAGTTAAAAATATAGAGAAAGCATGGAAAAAGATGTAAAGAGTTTTTTCAAAGAAGAAAAAAATATTAAAACTTTTTTCAAAAAATACTTTAAAAAATTTTAAAATAACGGGAAACAAAATAAGGAAAAAATATTATCTCGTCATCAGAAAAATCCAAAAAAAATAGCAAAAATTTTTTTTATCAGAACAATATATCAAGAAAATTATGTATATCAAAAAAATGTTATCTAATTTTGTGTTAATATAGCCAAAGCAAAATATATCAATACAATATTGTAAGGAACGCCAAAAACTGGAACAAAATTAGAACTTATTAGGCAAAAAATGTAAAATAAAACAAAAAATACTAAATAAAACAATCAAACAAAAAATACAAAATATAAAAAAAAATCAAGAAAATGCAGAACAAAACACAAAATGTAATATATAAATCGAATAGCGAATTCGAACTTAACTTATACTTAACGGCATTTTTTAAAATTTAAGTGTTTTCGTAACAAGTACATTACAAAATATGAAAATAGAAGCGTCTTCTTTAGGTAAAAAATCTTACACATCGGGTTATTTAGACATAAATACAAAGCTAAGAAGATTATTTTAGACATCTTGGGTGTAAATTATATAGAAGAAAAGAAAGGGGAAAAAATTGGAGAAAGCATTTCAGAGCTTTAGGGGTTTTACAATCCATGGTATCCATACTTACATGAAAGCAAATTTAACATATACCATTTTCTCGTTGGTACCATCATGGTCTGTTTCCCTGCAAATAGGATAAAAATAGAGATATATAGTTTCCACCATTTATGCATCATTAATATGGCATTGACTGCAAACGTTTGTACTTCTTCGGACACTTACATCATCAATTGCAAGCAGAATGTTTTTAATATCATTAAAAATAAACACATATACATAAATAACAACCAAGCCATCTATAGATACGTTTTTATTCTACATATTTATATATACATTATATTTTTTATGTATACTGTGAGTCTTTTTTATATATACTATAGTGCACTTGTTGTATATTGTATATAGTATTGTCTTAATAAAAATATATTCATATATTTAAAATATTTTTTTGTCTAACATGATTTATGTACCCTTTCTTTATTCTTTTTCTTTTTATTTCTCTTTTTTAAATTTTTATGCATATAACAAAATTTATTTTTTTTATTGTTCATGTTCTTTTTTCTTCATTTATTGTTTCAGTAATTGTTTTTTCTGAAGCAAATGTGTTGCACTTCATTGTCTTCTGCAAGACTTTCAATACTGTTTTTTATTGTAAGAAGTTTTATATGTATTATCTAACATGCAAATTTTTTTAAATAAATTCCCACTGATCAGGCTAGCTCGCCAGAGCTGGACTGGTAGCCAGACGTGGACTATACGGGTAAGGGTTTTTGCAAACCTAGGTACGTGTCCACGTCTGGAGGAAAGAAAGAAAGTGCACTTGTTGTACAGTCCGCAAAAAAAAAGATATCACCCTGAATAACTTTCGTTCTAATGATCGGATTTTCGCAAACTATGTGTCAATCTTAATGTTTTCTTAATGTTTCCATGGGGTGACCTCAAATATGCTAATTAATTAACGCTAACTAGTAATTAAGTTACGAAATCAATAGTTAGCACTAATTAATTAGCATATTTGAAATCAACCCAGGAACCATTAAGATTGGCACTTAGTTCGTGAAAATCCGATCATTAGACCGAAAGTTATTCAGGTTGATATCTTTTTTTTTTTTCTTTTCTTTTTTTTCTCACTATACCAACCGAAAGCAGAATATTAAACTGTAGCTTTTTATATTTTCCTTAGCGGAAGATCTTTTGAAAACCATGCTGGTTATATGCTAAATTTACTTACTTCAGCAATCCATTATAAAATATTCTCCAAGCTCTCATTGGTGTTATATAATGTAGCTGAAGTCCTCCACATGAGAACACTTTTTTCTCACAGCTAGATTGCTGGTAATTTGCAGTCTTCTTCAGCTGATACAACTTTCCATTGCTTAGCTGTAGAAATATCCAAGCACTTGCCGCATTATTAGGATATCGCATTATCTTTGTCACTAGATACTCAGATTTGGAATTTACCCCATGGAAAAATACTTCATCAGCTGTCTGCAATTGAAGACATGCATTGAATTTGTTTTATTGAACTTTCTTCAAGATATATACTTCTACAAAAATACTACAACCTCATTTTATTCCATTTAAAATGTTAGTAAAAAATTAAATTTCCTTCTATAATTGTAAGTTGGCTTTAATATTAAAACAAAAATCAGCGGGAGTTTTAAGTAGTGTTACAAGTTTATTATGAACGTTATGCATTGCCGTTTTTCATAGACTAAACAGGAGAAAAATTATTTTCTCTTTTTTGGTCTATCTAAAAAACATGTTTTAAGAAAATTCAATCACATTGTTTTTTGTTATTTTACTTTTTTGTCATTTAATTTTTTTCGGTTAAAAATTTATTTAAATTCTAACTGTCGATAAATTCGTTTAATAAACAAAATAAATTCTACTTTTAGTAGTCAGCAGACAATTGAAACTATTATTGCTATATGCCACAAAGATTCAGTTGAAATTTAAGCATTCTAGCTAGTCGAAAAGTGATCGGAATTTCAACTGTTTGAAAATTCTATTTACAACAAACAAAACTAACAAAATTATAAAAACAAACAACAAAATGATAGTAACAAAATTATAAAAAGTACGTTTCTAAATGATAGGAAAATCCTTGAAAAATAATTTGTTAACCGCTATGAAGTTTCAATTGAAATTAAATTTAACAATCTAGGTAGTCAAAAACGTATTAGTTAGCAATATATTCTGCATTTAATAGTCAAACAATAATTAAAAAATTGTACTGTTATCTGGCACAAAACTCCAGTTGAATTTTAAACACTCCAGCTTGTTAGAAAGAGGTAGAAATTCCGATTGCATTTCTCTCACACCGTCACGAAAGGGTCTAAAAACATGATAAAAATAATGTTATTATTTTACATAAAATAAAACTTACTTTGTGCAACTGACCCTCCTCTAATGGCGATTCCAGATCTATCTCTTCTTGGGGAACAATAAAATTTGCTTTTATGGGATCATGTTCAGCATGAACATCGTAGAAGTCGAATCTCCCTTTCGTCAAATATCTTGACAATCGAATGCAACCATAAGATATAATCCATTTGGCCCACACTACAGCCTCTGCAAAAAAATTTCGTTCGAGTTAATTTTATCATAATTCATATCGGGGGTTAAGTCTCGAACAAACTATGTCAAACTTAGTTGTATAAGCGTGGTGGCTCAGGGGACAGAGTGCTCACCTCCCAAAAAGATGAGCCGGATTCGATCCGAGCAATGGCTGGATTCGAATTCCACACCCAGCTCGCACCAACCACAGTGCTGACGTAAAATATCCTCAGTGGTAGACGGATCATGGGTTAGAGTCTCCTTGCCGTCAGGCTAACCGTGGTGTGTTTTCGTGGTTTTCCTCTCCATGTAACTTAAATGCCGGTTAATTCTATCAAAAAGTCCTCCACGAAGGCAAAATTCTTCCAATAATTCAAAATTCAAAATTGCAAGACTGCGAAGTTATGCATCGGTACTCGTAAACCCAAGATTCGGTCGGCTGTTCAACGACGGTAATAAAATAAAAGTATCATTGGACACATGACGTTTATAAAAGCAGCGGGAAAATTTCCTGTTTCTGTAAGAGTTTTTGATGGGAAATATTTTTAGCTTCAAGCAATTTTGTAGACTTAGTATGTTTTGCTGTTAATGCTGTTTAACGACGGTTATGAAATAGAATAAAGCCTAGTCAAAGAAAAGTCAACCTACTCAAGAAAGTTATTTATAATTAATTTATTTATTATACTAACATTATTAAATATCTAATATATATAATTCTCTTACGTGGCTCTCAAATTTTGGCTGTATTTCTTTTCTGCCGGTGGCAACGTTTGCTTTGTTTTCTTTACGTTACTATTTCTCTTACACGGCGAATCGACCAATGATTGCCGCTAAAAATGTCACATGCCAAATCTAGCTGAGGTGGCTCAACATATAGCGCTTTTAAAAACGGAAACTGAAATAACCAGAGAGCATCAGCTGCGGCAATCTCATACTATTAAGCTAGGCAGAAGTGAGTAGTCTTTGTCGATAGATCTCTATTTTAGTATTTTGTCGAAAGCGCTTTTTTTCACGAATTTATATATTACGAATTTATTTGACGATTTTTGATTTATATCACGAATTATACTATAGCACATTTCTAATAGGTTTAACGAATTACATGTCATTTATTTGAATTCAAATTTATTTTAATGACTTAGTATTTACTAAAAAGATGTAATTTTTTTTTTCAAAAAAAGTTTTTATTATTTGAATGATTGTTTTGCATTCTTAGAATTTTGTGCATTTGCAATAAAACTAAGTTAGTAGCGAGCGAAGCGAGCTTGGTTTGCGAAACAAACCATATAAGATTGCGTAGCAATTTTCGGAGGTTGGCGAGCGTTAGCGAGCAGGGGGCACAGCCCACTAGTAGTAGAAACTAATTTTAAAATCATTCAGTCAATACCTGATGGGGCATAGGAGAGGATGGCAGTTGTTAAGGTGAGAGGCACAGCGACTATTGCACCCATAGCTTTTCATACATGAATGGCTATGAATAAATATCACAGAAGTCAGACTGATGCTGAAAAAGCTACACATTCTATTATCTAATAGATAAAAAGAAAGACATTTTGATTAGATATTGTTGTCAATGTACAATATGACAATGCCGTAAAAAAGGCATTATCAAAAAATTGATAATAACTACAATTTGAAATAAGAAAAATGAAAACAAATAAGATAAAAAAAAAGGTTAAATTACATAATTATTTTTATTAAAATTGATGCGTCTGTAATTAAAATGTATGCTTGTTATGTATGTTATTAAAATGTTTAAATATTTCAAATATAATTTTGATTAGCAATGAAAATTTAATGAAAAGTGTTTCTTAAAGAAAAAAGTTCTTTTTGTTCTATTAAAAAAAGATTAATTATATTTTGTCATATTAAGTTTCCTTCATTGATGATTGATCCTTTAATGATGGTTTTGTTGATGATTGAACATCATAAGTCATTGCTCTGAAATTAAAAATTTTAAATCTCAATATTTTGTGACCACATTTTTATTATAATTGTTAGTTATTCTGTAAAAGTATTGTATTATGTATTTTATTATGTATTTATTATCTATTATTCTATATTGTATTTATGTATTGTATTATGAAATTCCATCATAAAATTTTGCATAACGAAATTTAAGATAAGTGGTAATAACATATTACAGCCAAAATTTACGAAAATCCAGAATTTAAAATAAAACGTTGCGAAAATTATTAGGAACTGTTTGCATCAGGTTATAAATAGATAGGCCTATCTTACTTCTATAAAATAAAACCGACATTTTGGAAGGACGCTAGGCACATGTTTGATCAACCTAGGCAACCTATCATCCCACAATGTTAAAAGTAGCTGCGAAATAACAAATTATTCTTGTTGTTGTTGTCGGCCAATAAGACAGAAGGGGTGCGGTTGTTCTTGTTTGCCAATGGTGCCATCTAAGGCCAAGAATTCGACTTCTGCCCCACCCATACGTCACACCCTTTAATAGGGCACACCCATTCACACATCCATCCATTCATTCACAAATCGTAATTTTGACCTAAACCAGAGAACGATCAATCACCCATTCTGTACACCTAGAAGAATAATTTGTTATGGGAACATGGAGGACTTTGTAAACCGATAGATTTAACATACCCAGTCTTCGGCCGGTTGGACTCGAACTCCCGTTTTCACAAAAGCGAGTCCAGCATCCTGCCAACCAGGCTATCCCGGCACCCAAAATATTCTTAATTTTTTAATTTCGCCATTCGATTCGTGAGTCTTCCACATTTGTTTAAACATTACATTACATTGATTAAACATTACATATAATGGTGGTTAAAATCATTAAAAATCAAATTTATTAAATCAAAAATAAAATTCTATAATCCATCACCAATTTAAATATTAAAAGAAATATATCATGCTTGAATAAGCAAAACTTGTCATTTCAGCAATTTCGTTAACTTATTCTCGCTGGCTCATTACAAATATACATATTTTTAATGCTGCCGATTTTATACGCTTTGTTAGAAAATTTCTTTTAGTGGTGGCTAAGAAAATATTTTAATGTATGGTTATTTGTTCCGTACATTTGATTTAAAGTTATTTTCAACACCACTGCATGTTAACTATTCAAAAGTTAACATGCTATTCAAATCCTGGCAAAAATTCTGAAAACTTTAGTTTTTAATTGCTTATCACTCAATAAAGAATATTTTGAGAAAAGCGTAGTAGTTCGCAGCCCTGTATTTTGTGGTTGTTACTTATGCCACTTGCCAATACCAGCAGGCCTGCTTTAAATCAAGGGAATTTTTAAGTAGATTCTTGCGCGCTTCTTGTTTTTTCAGTGGCGCCATCTGTAGACCAAAATACTACTTCAACCACACACTCGTCACAGTCCGTTTGGCATGTCCCCAATCACACTCCATTCATCCACAGATCGTAATTTTGACCAGAAGCAGAGAATGATCAATCTCCAATCCAGTACCCCCAGAGGTATTTTATAACCGTCTTTGAACAACCGAACCAATTTTGGGCTTACAGCTACCAATGCTCAAAACCATAGTCTTGTAATTTTGAACAGAATCCAGAAGACAAGGGAACTCCTGGATTAATTATCGAGAAAAACTTGCCCTCGTGGAGGACTTTTTAATGGAACTTATCCGCATTTGCGTTGCATTGAGAGGAAACCCACAATATCTCCCATGGTTATTCTCAAGGCAAGAGCACTCTAACCTATAATCCATCTACCACTGAGGTTGTTTTTCGTCAGCACTGTGGTCGGTGCAAGCCAGGTGCGCAATTCGTATCGACCAGCTGTGGCTGGGATTCGAACCCAGTCCACCTCATGGAAAGGCGACATCTTCTTTTCTTAAAAAATTAATAAATAAAAATAACAAAAAAATTTTTGAGTGAGAAATACTGTATCAAATGTACTTATATGTTGATTGCATTGATCATAGTCAATTTGCATCCTGGAAAAATAAATGCTTAAAAACTCTCTTGAAAAAGATTTATACTGCACAGAAAAGATCTACTGCACAGAAGCATTAAGAGTTAAATATATTTTAAAAAAGAAAAAGAATTAAAAAAATAATAATAATAAAAACTATTTATAAATAAAGAGTCATAAGCGAAAACAACCGCCGCTGTTTTTTCGCCACCGACACTTAGTAAATACGGCATTACCATGGTATGAAGAAAAGTGTATTGAAATTAAGATGGAATGAAAAAATGTCATATTCGTTAGACTGGTAGTAAAGATTACTCTGTAGTAAGGAATAAGCTTGTAGATAGTGAAGATTAAACTTTTGAAGACAGCTCTGAAGCCCACAGAAATGCAGTAGAAGAATTAAAAATTCGATTGCAATTGGTAAGTACTTATCTCTCTCGTATAACGAGTAAAAGTACTACTTTTTTCTTTATTCTTATTGTGTCACACATTCTGTTTTTCTTAGTTTTAATTTTTTCTAAATACAGATTATTATTTTTCAAAACCAGGTAAGGGTTCATTTCATTACGATTACCATATTAACAAAATGTGTTTTCATGTAAAATTATAATAATTATATATTTAACTTTAAAAATGATCTTTACTTTTTTGAAATATATTGACTTTAGAAATAAAAAAAATTTTGATAAATGAGAAGCAACTATGGCGGTGTAGAGTGGAGCCTCGAATTAAAAAATAAATAAGAAGTTGTAAAAGAATTAAATATTGTTTATAAAGTTCTACTTTAAAATTTTTCCAAATAGCTCTTATCTTATCTTGGTTTTTAATGAAGAAATTTGAAGTGTGGTTAGAAAAACATTTTTTTTTTTCCTGACGCTGCACCCATTGAAACAAAACTTTTTTATCGCCCTTATTCCCGACTCAACAGCCTTATCTGTTTGCGTGGCAACGATGTTGCTGCCATTTTCTTTTTTATGATTTCAACTTTCTCCTTGTCATTAAATGTTTTTTTGGCTTATTGTTTCAGATCGGTCGAAAAAGACTGTTTCGTTCTTTCAGAACCTATGTTTCTTTTTTTTTCCTTTTTTTTTCGTGTTATTTTATAATTTTCAGAACATTAAAATAGAATGGAATGTCAATTTAAAAAAAGAGCATTTTCGATACTTCTCTTTGCTTTTATTTAAGCCTTGCTTTCTTTGCTTTTATTTATGGTTCTATGGCCGCAAAAGCTGCTCCGAACATTAGTGTTGTGAATGAAGAGGGTACCATAGCTGAAAAAACTGCCATATTTTCAATATCTCCAAAGCATAATTTAAAATCACTCACAAAATTTTAAAATATTTGTGACTGAATAGCAATGGTATTCATCCATCAACCCCTTGATCGGATCGACTTCCAATTGTACTATATCGACCAACCACGGGTCGATATCAACCACTTTAGCGACTTCTGGGTTAATCCAAATTTACCATGAAAAAGACGAAGGAAATGAAATGTTACTACTGTTAAAACTTTAAAGAAAAAAAAGAAATTTAGCTGTCAACCCAATATTTTGATGACGTTACATAAAATCTTGAACTAATTTCTTATGAAAGAATTTCAGGTCACAAACAATCAATGAAAAATTAATTATACCAAGTTCGACAAATATTGCCTACATTTCTACACAATCATTTTTCTGTTTATGCAAATTAATAAATAAGGTAAATTAATGTGAATTTTAGTACTGACACTGACAATTACTTTTTTTTTTGTTGTCAAAAAAAATGCTTTTTTTTTTTGTTGATATTTTCGCACAAGCTTGAATAGAAAACTATTGAATGAATGTTTATGCAATTATTGTTTAATAATTCGTTTTTGGTATGTATATGATGGAGTTACAAAAAATAAAGTTTTAATTTTCATCGTGATTTCTGCATGTGTCTACTGAAGAAACACCTAATGTTTATGCAATTGATACATAAATGTTGGTTTTCAATATTCGTTATTATTTTTTGCTGTCTCAAAAATACAAAAGCATTATCTTAATTTTATCCTTTTTCAGGTGCCCAGTCTTAAAACTTAAGTTTGTGCGATGAATGTATAATATTTAATTTTTTGGCAGCTATAATTATTTTTTGCTAACACAAAAAATTAAAACCATAATCTTAATTTTATCTATTCGCACGTGTCCAGTTTGAAACCTTATGTTTAAGCGATAAATATATAATATTTAATTTTCTGACATCTATAATTATTTTTTGCTGCCACAAAAATTAGAACCATAATCTTATGCATTTTGCAAGATTTTCTATTATTGACTCTCACCGTTATTATAACGCCAGCGAAAAAAAAGCGATATAATTCACTCCTGTGGGAAGGAAAGCATGGAATTGTATAGCTAGTCTTATACAACAATGACTTAGTTTTTACTATAAGCAGTTAATAATGACTACCACTTACAGTATTGTGTGCAAGAAGAATTTTTCATCAGGTAACAAACAACACTTAGCATTCACTAGTAAAGTTAAATGCAAGAAAAAACTTCAGTACATACTTTTTCAATATTATTCAATGTCTTGGAGTTTTTATAAGTAAAATTTTTTTACAGTGATA